TGCCGCATACCAGCAGGTTTGAAGCCGGATTTACATCACCTGCCCCAATAGCATAGCTTTCATCTATTATATACTTATACTATTATACTTTTTCTTCCCTGAAAAAGGGACGTGCCTGCTCTGTCGCTGCTTCTAGCCTGCCCTGAACTGTTCAAGTCAGCCCGGCTCAAACACTGCTTAAAATTTTAACTTTGTTTTTACCCCATTACCCTTATTGTCTCTACCTCTACTTCCTTACTACCTGGCCATTACTTCATCATTACCAGCTTAAGGGGACCGTCTCACTCTTTTGAAAACTTTTTCATTTACATACGGATCATTTTGAAACTTGGTACACATATGTAAAACAGAAATCTAAGAACTTTTTGTTCATGTAAATTTTTCGAAAGAAAGGAAAGAAAACGTGAAATTCATAGAAAACCGCGAAAAAGGGGGTACTTTAAAAATCTATCTCCTCCTACAAATATCGTGCTACGACATCGAGACACGTATCATTCGATTTGTAACGATCATATCTAAAATCTTTTATATCATTTTTCCGAATTTCGAATTTGTTCGGGAGGAGGGGGCGGGGATTTTCCGAAATTTTCCCAAAAATTTCAAATTTTCCACCCTCTGCCCCCACTTTTTGAAAAATACAATCCAAGCTATAACGAAATCGAAAAAAATTACCGGATAGTTTCTAGAGATTTTATTTACGAATCGAATGGCATATGTCTCATCGCTGTAGCTTCAAAACTCTAGGAGGAGATAGGTTTGCCTTGACAATAAGTGCGAATGTTCAGTACAGCCCGAAAAAGTCCCGCGCGCACCACAATAGGCACTCAATGTAGCAAGGATACGAAACTAAACGTTTCTGGAGCTTGAATCCACTCAAGGATGGTGGGAGCGACTGCATGCACACCTCCTCATACGACGCCAGGCGGGGTAACTGGGCTGCAGCTGAAGCAGACACTCTATTTAAAGTGCTCAGCAGCTAATTTCCTCCTATTCTATTTGTTAAAGAACTCCCCCAGCCCCCTGCCTTTCATGATCTGTCGTGAACTCATAAATCAACGTACAGAGATGATTTTGGTACCATTGGATAGGTCAGAATGTCAGCTTTAAGATGAGACTAAAAACCGGAAAAGCCAAAATCTAAAATTTTAGGGTAGACGCTCCCCTTAACTAGGCCAATACCCACTGACTTTACCCTCCCCCATTTACCCGATTAATGAAGGGGGGCATGTAATCCCCTAAACTGGGTGACGTGACTGGAACGCCATTGCTGGGGGGCTGAACTGGCTGTGGGGGTGTTGCGGGGGGACGCTGCGGGGGGCGGGAGGGAAGCGCAGCCTGAGGGGAGACGAGAAGCCTTCTTAATCATAACAGTTTAATTTTATTTTATTTTATTGTCTCAGTTTAATTTTATTCTGATTTGACTTCTTTTTGTACCAATATCAAGCGTTAATAAGGGTGATTAAGAAATTAATGGTATAAAATAATTGAAGAAAGCACGATAGAAGCAGCTTCTGCTTGAAAAAAAAAATATTATAAAATTCCTCGCATGGATTTTAAAAATAAAAGGAAAAATAATGGCTCGTAGGAGCAAGTAAAGAAATCACAGGAAATAATACACACAGAGAAATCTGAGACGCTTTGTCCAAATATCGATGCATTTCTTCTTGCGTGTAGGTCAAAGTTACCAAGTTTGTGTGACACAATTTGAACAATACACCCATCGATTTTTCTGAGAGACTTCAGTAACGAAACATTTACCTTTTTGTAATTAAATTTAATTAATAATAAAATAACAATATAATTTTCGTTTAGAATTGTTTACCTGGCGGGGGGATGTTGTAGCTGTAACTCTGTAAAATACGGTGTAGCTGTAACTCTGTAAAATACGGCGTAGCTGTAACTCTGTAAAATACGGTGTAGCTGTAACTCTGTTCACTGTAACTTGATGTAGCTGTTCCGCAGTGTAGCTACTTTACCCACCACTCAGTGCCACCCACCACTCAGTGCCGTACGCAACTCAGTGCCACTCGCTGCTTAGTGCCACTCGCCATCAGTGTTATACGCTACCCAGTGCCATACGCCACTCAGTGCCACGCGGCAAGATCAAGATCGCCCTTAGAGGGTCAGTGGCCATGGCACTGACGATGCACTATTTTGGGCACCCCCCCACCCTCACTTAGCCCACAACCCCTACACTCACTCCCCCACCTCCCTCCCTACCCTCACTTGACCCATCACCCACACACCCTGCCCCTCACCCTCCTCCCACGCACCAGCGCTCCCCCCCCTCGCCGCCAACCAGAGAGGCATCCTTAACAAAATTTGGGGAACGGCTAGGCTTCGGTCGAATAGTTACTACACTCGGCACCAGAGCTGGGCAGCGCTACTTTGAAATGTAGCGGCCGCTACCGCCACCGCTTCATGCTCTAAATGTAGCGGGCGCTTCCGCTACCGCTACAATTGCTTAAATGTAGCGCCGCTACCGCTACCTTCACTGAAAATGTAGCGGCCGCTGCATGTAGCGCGCTACTGCCCACCTCTGCTCGGCACCAAATTAATCTAATAAGTTAATAAGCTGGCCAAAGGCTGGCATTCAAACCATGAGTCGAAGCGGATATTAGCGACATTAGCGGCTGATTTACGTGCTCCCCGAGTCATAGGCGGCACCTGATGCAAAGTCGGGCCGCACCAAAATTTTGTTAGGGAGCTCATACCCTGAGTTTGAGGACACACTTGTCGTGCTCCCTGGACACACTTTTCATTCTACCAGGACACACTTGTTAGTTCATCATTAAGTCGGAAAGGAGATTCTTATCAGAAGTTGATTTCTATCAGGTGGCCAATCAGACCCAGAATAACTCTGCGCCGAGTGCAGCGATTTTCGGCCGAAGCCTATATAGGCGCTCCCCGAACTGTGTTAGGGTAACTGCCATTCATTACCTCCAACTCATTAGCATTACTGCCATACATTAACCCCACTCAATGCACACTCATTTTCTCACTCATTAACCCTAAAGATGCTTACCTTTATGTAGTGCGAAGCGCAGGTTAAGATTTATGTTAACCCCGCCAACCCTGTCACTGATGACCCTGATAAGGGTTACGGCAGTAACTTGTTAATCCTGTTAACCCTGTCACTGATGACACTGATGATAGGGGTTACGGTAGTAACATTTGACCCTGTAAAATATTCACTATGTCATCACCTTCATATAATCACCTACAACCTCGTCTTAATTATATATTCCACCAATCAATCACCTTTCGCTCGGACTAGAATAGCATTCCAGTTACCAGATAACCAATTTAATTACATGATATCCTCAATTAATTAACTCTCTAGCGAACTTAATTACATTTTCATTGTCTTATATTAAATAAATATATTATAAAAAAATAATAAATTTCCTTCTCTCTTCAATTGCCTACTGTCTATTGTGTTTAATCACCTCTTCCCTCGATTAAACATCTCCTTTGTTACTATCACCCGTTATCTTTATAAAATTACCTCCTACCACATTAAATCAATTCATCACTCCCCTATTACAGGAACTCACAGTTCATAACCTGCTATATTAACTAATTACCATCTACCCTTACTCAATTACGCCATATTACTAACCTAATTACCGACCATGCTAAATTAATTAATTACTATATTTGCTTAATTACGCGCAATTTAAATCCACTTTCATTTCTTCATTACCAGCCATCATTTTATAAATGTCGGCTATCCACAGTTAATCACCTGATACCCTCACTTGATCATCTGATACCCTCACTTGATCATCTGATACCCTCACTTGATCACCTGATACCCTCACTTGATCACCTGATACCCTCACTTGATCACCTGATACCCTCACCCTTTCTCATGTATCACAAAAATATAAAAAGACCGAATCCCAATCCGAGGGGTTCGAGGGGTTTCTACCGTATTCACTTTGATGTGGCATTTACTGCTAACTCAGATGTTGAAGTGAGTTATATTTTGCCCTCACATTTATGAGGGGAAATGCACGCATTTCGAGGGCAGTCAAGTGGAAATAACATGTGACCTAATGCAGAGCTCGGCAACGCCAAGAGAAACTAGTTTCTTTTTAAAAATAATACTTGGATCATAATTACTGATGACCATTAATACAGAAAGAGCATTTTAATTATTTAAATCTAAACGATTTATCGAAGTTTTGATGCCGGCTTTCAAGTTCGCTATTAATGGCCGACATTTTACGTCGATAATTCAAGCGGCGACACACACATAACCACTCTCTATGAACGCCGGAGCGGCACTGAGGGAAGCCCGCTCAGCTGCCAACTGCCACAGGTTTATTCTCAGGTGCCGGGGGCTGAACCCCGGGCACGGTAAATAACCCCTGTGAGGCGAGGGCTAAACCCCGGGTAAGGTTAATAACCCCTATACGTTAGAGGGCTGAACCCCGGGTACAGACAAAAACTCATATGCAGGCGAGGGTTGAACCAAATGCGCGGTGAATAAGCCTTTTATTAATTATTTATTCGTGATGTTTGAAACTTATTTTTTGAATTCGAGAATTGAATTCTACCTCATGTTTATTGCGGTTCACGATCAAGCTGTGAATTGAACGGCAAGTTTCAGCTTCGGGTTTTTTATTCGGGTTCGAGACGCTAACATTTTTCGCTAATTTATTGTTTTGTAGCTTTTTGTATCAAGTGTTGTTATAAAATTAATCACGATAGCGAAACGCAAAAATTCAAAACAACTGTCGTACAAAATTCACGAAGAGAAAAAAAATATAAAAAACTTTTGCTTTTCAGGCGTATATTTCGTAGAAGATTAGGTATTCTATACTCAATAAGCTACGGATCGATTATTAGAATATCTGATTTCCGTTTAAAAAAATTCACTCAAATAACTGAGCAAGACAATTCGTCAAAATTTTTGATACACTTTTCTCCTCCGCGTGGGTCATCGTGACCCAGTTGGACCAGGCAAAAGGGCGTATCAGTGCTACGTCCGCTGTCTGCTCGTGCTGTATTAAGAAAGTGTGTCACTATTTGGACAATATGAGCCGTTCATTTTTCAGAGCGTTCGAATTCTGCCATTGACATGTTAAAGATAAAATCTGGCCTATGATTTGCTAACTTATTTAATGAAAGCCATTAAGGTTATTTTAATCGTTCAAACCACACTCGAAAATAATTTCAATTCAAAATAACGTAGAATAAGATATAACAACAAAAAACTCCCACACTTACAAACAAGATCAACGTACTATTTGTTCATTAATCTGTGCATTCAGCGCTAAATAACGTGAAGTATTGCTATTGCAGTTACGTTGCAGTGACGTTTTACATCAGAAGACGTAAGCGATTACTTCTTACTACTATAAATATTTTTTGCAAATTTTAATCAATTAAATTAGTTAGTTAAAAATTAGGTGGATACATGATAATAAGCACCGAATGTTCAAAGGAGCGATCGTTGTCTTATGAAAGAAATCCTACAGGAAAACATTGCGAATTTGTCCCTGTATGAGCTTGGCGTAGTAGTTTTCTTTGTAATTTTCTTCAGAAGAAAACGTATCTTGATTGAGGGGTGACTGTTGTACGGGCAAGACATCGCGCATTTTCAGCACCCACACCCACTGGGAAGCTAGGGAGGACTGCGGGGGAAGCGCAATCTGCAGCCCTTTAGACACCTCCTTGAACTGAAATAATTTATAAACATCATCATTACATTATTTTAGAGAAAAAATTACTTACATTAGTTTATAATCAGAGAAATGAAGTGCATAATGGAAAAACTTGCGCCCTGCAAATGGCATTGTGATCTATGCCGACAGGTGGAGCTTCAATTTAGTTAATCATTCATAATGACTAGAAAAGAATTACTTTCAACACACCAACTATGATGAAAAAGAACATTAACATTTTCGTAAATAAAAATCTACAGCTACACTGACGAGCGTCAGTATACAATATAAAGTAATAAATGGTAGACGATGAAGGCTAGATAACCTGGAGCTGACGCTGCAGCTGGCGGTCAGTGAGGGCGGTGATGGAGGTGCTGACTGTGCTGCTGACGGAACCCAGAGTGAGTAGATCGTCAGCCGGCCATGTCAGCACCAGGGCATATACCGCAGTACTGGTACTTGTATACCTGCGTGGTACGGTGGTACTGCATCGTCAACTGGCTGACGTCATTTAGTACCTAGTACTAAGTAAAGCTATGGTACTTCATAGTTGACTGTATGACTATATTTCGAAAAAAAAAAACAAATAGTATTACGGATGGCGTGAAAATTTATAAAAGTACATTTAGAAATGTGACATAATGACCTTTGAAAAAGTTAGCAATCTGGATATAAATTGTGGAAAAGTCAATATTACATATTACTGACAAATTATAATTCAAGAATAACATTATTACTGAACATTGACACTATTGTTCATAAATGTTTCTTTATATAATTAAATATTATTACTGTTTCGCAGTGGAAAACACGAGGTTCCTTACCAGACGCCCGGGGTGAAGGTATCGTTCTGCACGCCCCAAGGGGAGGTGGCGTAGATTGCCTCCCCGTTGAGGCTAAGCCACGTCCCCATCTGCCGCAGCCTCTCCTCCATGATGGGGGGGATCGTCCCCTCGGGGGTGGGGCCAGCGTTCACCAGCAGGTTGCCTGGTGGGGAGTACGCGGGGAAATGAGGGGATGAGTTCAGGGGATACGGAATATGAGTGGCTTAAGAAGCTCTGGTAAAAGGGATGTCAAGTAAGGGGATGAGGATGAGAATATGTTACTCGATTACAGTTGATATTATGGATGGTCTTACCGATAATACTATAGATGATACTATCAATGATACTATGAATGATACTATCAATGATACCATCAAAATGATAGAATCGAGGATACTACGTATATTCCTGATCACCTTCATCCAGCCGCCGTCCGATAGTTAGCCATCAATCTACACATATCAATTATATACAAATTATACAAGTATATATAGTGTCACTGACCCCCGCAGCTGACGGTCTGGGTGAGCTGGGTGAGGAGGTCGTGGGTGGAGAGTATGTCGGTGGCGGGGGCGTTGCGTCGGTAGCCCCACGCGAGACGGTCCAGTGTCATGCAGTTCTCCCACTTGTGGGGCTGCAGGGTGCCTGGGGAGGAGGGGGGTAAAGTTAAATAGTATAAAGTTAAATTAAATAATAATATATGAAATAATATAATAATAAATATATGAAATAATAAATAATAATATAAAAAAATTCATATAATATAATAATAATATATGAAATAATAGATATAAAGTTAAAGTTAAATAATAATATATGCATAAGTTGATTAGAGAATGAGCGTGATTAATTTCGTATATGATTTTAACGACTTGCACTGAGCTACGCACCTGGATTGTATCTGTCGTGACAGGTGTAGAAGGAGCCGTGCTGACAGATGGTACCCTGGCCCCATCTGTCGTTGACGACGACCGTCTGCTTGACGGGCGAGTCGTTGAAAAGCCAAGACAGAAATCCCGTCGAATTCCAGTAACTGTCTGGCGCCTCCCAGTCCCCGTCAGACCACAGCACATCGGGACGGTACCGGTGCACCTGCACCGTTGGTAGTCAGGTACCGCATAGTCTGCTTAAAATGCATGGTCTGCTTCCAAAGCATAGTCTGCTTCCAAAGCATAGTCTGCTTCCAAAGCATAGTCTGCTTCCAAAGCATAGTCTGCTTCCAAAGCATAGTCTGCTTCTAAAGAATAGTCTGCTTCCAAAGCATAGTCTGCTTCCAAAGCATAGTCTGCTTCCAAAGCATAGTCTGCTCCCAAAGCATAGTCTGCTTAGGTAGTTCTGTGGAAAACAATTCCGCATCCAAAAAGTTCATTTCTTACATTGAGCTACTTCTCGAAAGTGTTTCATTTCTCAAATTCCGGCTTTCCTTTTAAGCGATCATTTGATAAATGCTTCCGTTCCTTATCAAATTCTTTCTAGCGGCCATTCCATACGAGCAGCAGTTCAATGGCAGCAGTCATTCTATATGGGGGGCGTTATTTACAAATACCAATCCTAATAAGCTTTAATTTATTAAAAGGCGTGAAAACTTATAAAAGACCTATAGAAAATAATAAGGGATTTGCTTAACTAACTTGCCAGTAAACACGAGCAAATGCAGCAATTACCCAGAATGTATTCAATTGGCTGAATGACTTGCGACTTACGAGTTCTCTGAGCTCTGGCCCAGTTTTCTGGGTGACGAAGGTGGTGGTGTTGAAGTGGTTGAGTTTGTCCTGCAGGTAGGTTGGGTTGAACCATTCATACAGAGAGTGGTACAACCCGAAGTGCATGTGTGGGTACTTGGAGCGAATAGCCTGCGCCAGTTCACCTGATGTACAATGTACATGGTATGCCTAAAGTCAGGTTGACCAAAATTGAGGCAAAAAGCACATCACTATTTAAAGCATGAACCCCTCATACCTCTCATTGAATATCGGAATCGTCATGTATCGTACACTCGCAAAATGTATGGGTCGTCTTGTCCAAATAGTGACTCTTTCTTACTCGCTGCATGATCAGAGAACGAACGTAATATTGATATGCCCTTTGCTGGGCCACACTTGATGAGGATGACCAAGCGGCATAAAGTACATCAGCATCTGCTAAAAAGCCGCTAATTTATCTGAATGATACACCTGAATAATCAGGTTTCGTAGGATCATTAGTTTTAGACGCACCCATCAACCTGAATCGTCAGGTTCCGTATGATTACAAGTTTTAGCCCTACCCGTCAACCTGAATCATCAGGTTCCGTACAACAATTAATGACCTCACCCGTCAGGTCCCTCTTCGGCCCGACGTCCATGGAGTTCCAGTTCCAGGAGACATTGGAGGGCCAGTTGGTGAAGCCCTCGTGGTGCTTGCTCACCAGCACCACGTACCGGGCCCCGGACGCGTTGAAAATCGAGGCCCACTGCGCCGGATCGTAGAACTCTGCCCTGAACTGCGGGGCGAACTCCTGGTATGTGAACCCAGGAGGGTAGTTGGTCTTCATGAAGTCTACGTACTCCTGCAGCTGCTTCTCTGTAGAGGATGATTATGGATTACCCACACCCAGAGAAATGGGTGACGATGCCCAAATAGTGATGTACTTTTTACCCTAGTGAAAATAATTTGGCCCTGATTGGCGCGGCAATAGGGCGCTAAGCACCCAAAATTTCGTCATGGTTTGGATAATATGGCCCATTTATTTGTCTAGGTGCTTGAATCCTAATATTGGCATATCAAGCCTAAAATTTGTAAATGTACTCCAACAGACTGAGAACATACAGCGTAAGTGGTTACAGCGTAAGTGGTTTGTATTACGGATTATATGAAAAAAATTTCACTAATTATTTTGAGGCTAGAAACCTCAGCTATCTTTCATTTCAACGCCTTTTCGACGATGGAACTCGGAGCTGTAGTTTTATTCTGAATATTTTTCTGAACATAACCCTGCGGTCGAAGATGTGACTACAAGACTACTACAATATTACAACTGGAATATCCAAAACTACTGCTAGCTAACAACTAGATTAATCTACCACTAATCCAGGTTACTACTGGAATACTAGTAGACGAACCCCCACCTTGCCAGTTGTACCAGAACCAGGCGCCCCCGAACGAGGGCACCGAAAAGACCCCCCAGTGCAGGAAGATGCCCACCTTGGCCTGGTCGTACCAAGGGGGCAGGGGGCGTTGGTCCAGCGACTCCCATGTGGGGGCGTACTGACCCCCAACCACAAATACTGAGGGATAATAACTGAGGGGTGAGATATGAGTGGTGAGGGTTAAGGACAAATTGGACTAAAATACTTGATTTTTTCAATTGCCTAACCATAGATTCGTTTGCCTCCAGAGAAGCAAATTTCAAAAAATTAGTTTATTTTATACACTTGCCGTGTATTTTGGATGTGACTATCTATGCAGGCATATACGCAAATTTAAGTACCCCACACAGGAGGTACAAACACAAAAGTGCACTAACACACAAAGTGCACACACGCACAGACGCAGAAACCGAAAGATACAGTCCCACGCCATGCACAAAACACCAGTTTTTTCATTATTAATGACAAAGAACGTTTTTAGCGGGAATCTGCCCTCAGTTGAGCCAGCTGATGCAAGATGCTGTTAATTTTTGCTGATAGTTGGATGGGAGAGACGGGCGATCCAGGATTGTGCTACAGGAATGTATACAGTCGTCTCTTGAAGTTCTCAAGGGTGAACTTCCTCCTCTTAGATACATCATACATCAGCATAGAATTGAAAAACTTTGGCCCCACCGCGGGAATGGATCTTTCCGCTGACACTGTCCTCGGACTACAGCTCTATGGTATGATCGGAATATTGTGCACAGTTTTACAATTTTTATCACAATTCTGGCAAGAAAAGTTACGGACCAGCTAGGTTGGACAAGTACCATCACTAGGGCCCAGTCGTAGGTTGTCGACAAGTAAACCAGTAGCCTCTCGCAGGCCAGTTCGTCAGTAATCCTCACTAGCACAACATGAATCATACACAGAAAACACACATTACACGAAAGGGTTTAGTACACACACGCACGACTCACGGCGGGCTAGGACACAAATACACGACTCAGACTCACAGCAAGCTAGGGCTCCCAGCAGCACGGCGGTCTTATCAGTCAGCATCTCGATGCGTCTTAAGGGGACCTCTGTAATGTCTGTATCCCTGATACCTGATGATAGAGCAGATACTGAAAAGTAAACCAAAGGATACCAAGGCCTTTAATACGACAGCAATTACATCATCCTTGGTGTGAGGGACAGGCTCTGCTGCATACACGATTGGTGAATTAATGACAGACACGAACAGTAGACATGAAGCTGGACATGAAAATGGGAAAACAAATGAAAATTTGTTTACCATATGCATGGCAAACAAATGTATTTTATGAAGTCAACAACGGTAGTTAGGAAGTCAACAACGATAGACATGGAACGGAACGTAGATTTGATATTATCTGAGGTCGAGCTACTCCGCAATGCGATGTATTGCACGGCGATCACGAGATTATGGTGTTCACAGGTACAACTGAACGCTTTAATCTTCCTTACGTATGCCACTTCCTCCACGCCCCCCAGTTCTTCACGCTGTTTTTCTTCGTCTATCCAAATACTGCAACTTCTTTCACCCAAATCGTTTTTCACGCCCTCGTATTTCACATTCCCTTATTACCCCTACATCCCTAAAAATTATCCCCCCTAAAAATCATCCCAAGTATCACTTATTCCTTCTCGTCTCTAGCGTACATCCTAGTCCCGCAAGTCCAGCAGACCCCTACTAGCTGTATGACTGCGCGGCCGCTGGGACGAGCAACCCTCATCATCTAATCTCTTATCAGCGGTCCTCTGCCCTCGAGTGGCAGCCATCTTGTTGCTGCTAACTGATAGTACAGACAATGATCCCCTGTCACAATAACTCTTGTTGCTAATAAAGGAAAATGCTGACAAATAGCTTCCTGCTAACTGATGGTGCAAGCAAAGTCTACCTCCCAGGACCTTGGTCGACAGACGCTGAGGGCGGCGAGTTACTATTCCGCGTTACAGCGTGGCCCGGGACTTAACATCGGAAAGAGATACTAAGGATGTTGTGCTGCCAACTACTACCTCGTGACCTTGAACCATAGCTGAGTTATCGCGAACTTCGTGACTGCCGTCTATTCAAATGGCTTCTCTATGAGCCCAACCAACATTCGGGTAACGACTAAAGCTTCTGCCCGATAATCGCTAATTGGTTTTAGAGTTAATCTGGGTACGCTTGGCCACCAGTTCAATTTCAGCTTCTGGTCAGATTCTTCTTTCCTACTTACTTAATGTCCTGAGTATGATAAGGATAGGTCCGAGTCGAGTCCGATCTTTGCAAGCTGCTTAGGGGGCTGCACTGCAGGGCCGGTCGAAGCAGACACTAGCGGCTGACACGTATCCGAATGCTCTTAAGCCTAGTACAGGGTCATCAATATTTAGCGTTACATTTTTTTTCAAAATCAAAACACTCGCAAAACCGTCAAATGTGCCGTATGGAACCATGTCGACTGTTCTCCGGAAGGACCTAAAGTTGTCCCCATTCAAGCATGTCAAAAAAACACCAACTGTCTGCTCAAGTTGTTGACAAACGCCTCCAAAAGATCCAAGATCCAAGATTCTTCTTTCCCGCATTCATGATGGCACGTTGCCAAACCTCGTTTTCAGTGATGAGAAGATATCAGTGAAGTCCTCAAGGAGTCCCCTCTTTTTTTGTTGACAAAGGGGTGAAATTGAATCAGAAGAACTATCGAGATGCCATCCTTGTTGGTGCATTGTTGCCCTGGACACGAAAGCACTTCAAAAAACGCCCCTGGTCGTTCCAGCAGGACCCTGCACCATCTCAAGGGGCCAACTCGACTCAGGAGTGGCTGTCCGAGAATGTCCACTTCATTACCAAAGATGAATGGCCCTCATCGTCACCCGATCTGAATCCTCTGGATTTTGGGATCTGGTCATATACCTTGAGAGCAAGGTCTCGGCCGTTCACCATAGCAGTTTGGACGCCCTAGAGGTCAAACTGCTGAAGAGTGGGCCAAAATCCCGCAGAGAGTCATTCGTGACTCGTGTAAGACTTTCTCTAAGCGTCTAAAACTCGTTATTGAAGCAGATGGTGGGCATATTGAATGAAATTGTGGGAATTGTATCTCTGAACCTCTGCCTACATAAATACATTTTCAAACATTCACAATTGTGTTTCATTTCATAGTTCTAACCACTCAAAGTTGTAACGCTAAATATTGATGACCCTGTATATGCCGTGCCCGTTAATGGCTGCCGTGCTCGTTAATGGATGCCGTGCCCGTTAATGGCTGCCGTGCCCGTTTATGGCTGCCGCGCCCGTTCATGGCTGCCGTGCCTGTTTATGGCTGCCGCGCCTGTTTATGGCTGCCGTGCCTGTTTATGGCTGCCGTGCCTGTTTATGGCTGCCGTGCCTGCTTATGGCTGCTGCCGCGCCTGTTTATGGCTGCCGTGCCTGTTTATAGCTCCTGTGCCCGCTAATGGCTGCCGCGCCCGTTAATGGCAATCATTACAGCTCACAGGCGTCCTTTATCTTATCTTCGTTATCTTTCTTCACAAGATACGCTATTAATACATGCATCAGTAAGCGTGTGGTGACACTAGTTTATGGTGGCGGTAGTTTATGTGCCACTATATAGTGTCAAGAGTTAATGGTAGCTGTTCTTTTTGGCGACGCTGGTTATGGTTGCATTAGTTTATGGTGACACTGATTTATGACCTTATTAATTTATGGCGTCACTAGTTTACGATGGCGCAGTGTGAATCATAACTGGTGCAATTTGGGGTGCTGGAGAATGTGGTCCAGTTTGTAGTGCAGTGTGTTGTGCAGTGTGTTGTGCAGTGTGTGGTGCAGTGTGTGGTGCAGTGTGTGGTGCAGTGTGTGGTGCAGCGTGTGGTGCAGTGTGTGGTGCAGTGTGTGGTGCAGTGTGTGTGTGCAGTGTGTGGCGCAGTGTGTGGTGCAGCTTGTGGTGCAGTGTGTGGCGCAGTGTGTGGTGCAGCTTGTGGTGCAGTGTACGCCCAGTCCAAGGCAAAAATAAAGACGCCAGTAGGCCCGCTTGAGGATAATGAAGTCATTGTAGGAGATGACCAGGGCATGTGTGAGTTACTGGGATCGCGGTTTGAATCAGTGTTCAGTAACCCCCGCTACTCAAGGGAGGAGAATGAACTCGAAGTTCTCCAAGAACTGCCAGGAGGATGGGGGTTGGAGAACATTGAGTTTGGGCCAGAAGATATGGAAATAAGTATCAAATAATTGGCTACGTTCTCAGCACCAGGATCCGATGGAATTCCGGCAGTGTTGTTGAAGAAGTTTGTTGGAGCACTGAAGGCTCCGCTCACAATGCTCTGGAAAGCCTCGATGATGGAGGGAATTATTCCCGAGGGCCTAAAAGTAGGACTGATATCGCCAATCCACAAGGGTGGGGCGAGGGACAGACCCCAAAATTACAGACCTGTACCCTTGACCTCACATGTGCTCAAGATTTTTGAGAAGGTAGTGGTCAGGAGGCTTGTCCGGTATATGGAAGAGGCTGACCTGTAAAATAAGTTAATAACGGACAACATGGTTTCCGAGGTAATCGTTCTTGTTTGTCGAGTTACTGGAACACCATTAACCCCTTATCTCCCTACTGGAGGAGGGAGCTTGCGTGGACGTAGTATACCTGGCCTTTGCTAAAGCCTTTGACAAAGTTGAACATGGGGTGCTCTTCAGAAAGCTGAGACTGTTGGGTGTAGGAAGAAACCTGTTAGGATGGATCCACAACTTCTTTGCAAATATAGTACAAGCTGGCGCAATTGGAAACTCGAAATCAAGAGAAGCGAAGGTGAAAAACGGTGTGCCGATCCTGCTTGGACCGACCTTCTTCCTCATCCACATCGCCGATATCGACTCAGAACTTACCCACGCATCTACATCGTCATTTTCGGACGATACAAGAGTGCTGATGAAGATCACAGAGGACATGGCCTGCGAGAGGTTACTGGACGACTTGACGACAATCTATGATTGGGGCCTAGTGAATAACATGCAATTCAACGGCACCAAGTTCGAAGTAATGAGATACAGAGTTGGCACAAAGATCCACATCACTACTTGGCATCAGATGGCACAGAAATTGAAGAGAAGCAACTAGTTCGAGACCTCGGTATGTTGATGTGTACTGAAGCCACGTTCGATGACCACATCCAGGAAATAGTTGCGCGAGGGAGACAAACGATGGGGTGGATCTGGCGGATATTTCGAACAAGATGAGCAGCGCCAATAATTACACTCTTCAGAGCCCTCGTGCTCTCCAATATTGAATACTGCTGTCAGCTTTGGGCGCCGCTCAAGCTAGGCGGGTGCGGTGCGAAAACTGGAGGCAGTGCAGCGAACTTTCGCGTACAGGATCAGCGGCATGAGGAAGCTGAACCTGGACTACTGGGACAGGCTGAAACACCTGGGACTGTACTCACTTGAGAGAAGAAGAGAGAGGTATATCATACTGTACACTTGGAAGACGATAATCGGACTGGCTCCCAACTTTGAATGCGAGTCTATCAGAATAGTTACACATTACAACGAAAGGAGGGGCAGGTTGTGCAAAGTTCCTCCAACCGAGCCGCAGAGTACAGGCTCTTCGTAAGGGATCACTGTCCGTGGTAGGACCGAGGCTCTTTAATGCCTTGTTAAAAGTGCTGAGAGGAAGGGAATTTACCCCTGCAACATTCAAGAGACGATTGGACAATTGGACAATTGGTTGAGAAAGATCCCGGATTGTCCAGCAATGGGAAACTACCCTCAGCAGGTGACAAGCAACAGCATCTTGCATCAGCTGGCTCTAAGGAGAGCAAGTAGACGGAACACGTCCACCGTTACATCCGAGACCCGAGGGCGGGGTGACCTGCCTAGCGAAGACTCGGAGACGGAGGACGACGAAGGCATCAGCTTGACCGTGGGCTACGAAGTCCTAAACTCATCATAAGATCATGAGTGTGTGGTGCAGCGTATTGTGCAGTTTGTGATGCAGTATGAGGTACAGTTGATGGTGCAGTATGTGATGCAGCATGTAGTGCAGTTTGTGGTATAGTGAGTAGTTCGTGGTAAAGTACGTATGTGGCGCAGTTATCTGTGCAGCGAGTTTCGATATTGTTCTAACACAAGGCACCACTTTCACAGATTGGGTTTCTCAACCAATGCCCGAGTTTACGAACTTGAAGGACGACCATCATTCAATCCACCGAGCCCCATGGATGCCACCATGGTTGGTGTATGGCAATTACCTCTATTTCAACTAACTTATTTGAAACTTCGAGACGAGAATTAGGAGACCAATTAGTACAAGAAAACGTAAATCTGACGTGAATAGAAAATATGCCCATGCACAAGACAACTGTCACCAGGCCACTGCTACTTATCACCAGTTGGCCATCATCACAGTAGGCCATTAATTGTAAACCGGTCACTAACCGACGTTTATCCAAAATTGGTTGATTGGTTTTCCAGTTCATTTTATTCATTAACAGCTAGTGAATCATTTAGTTCCATTGAATAACTATTTTATGAACATGTGTGTATGCTTCGAAACAATATACTCCTAAAAATACATTAATTTATTGGATTTATTTGTTAACAGATACATTTTTATTAAAATTACGATTCATAATCATTTAGCATCGGCAGCAAAGCGTTTCCGCACATTTAATTATTTAAATTTTTTATCCTCATTTATGTAATACTGACTAATACAAAAAGAAAAATATCTAAGTTGTATTACAGTAGCTGAAAAGCTCTTCACCTACTGACGTTACCTATACTTGGGCAGGTTACAAGCCTTCTCGACACGCTGGACGCTGTGGTCTGGAATGCCAACTACTGGCTTCCCCGAGGAATGGAATGGGAAGATTTGCACCCTCGAGATGGGGGAGTTTATCCTGAATTCAGGGATATTTTGGTGGTCCCAGTAATTCTGTCAATACTGCTAATCCTCTTCAGAAGCTACATCTTGAACCCGCTTATTCTTGAACCGATCGCCAAATACTGGCAACTCCCTTACAGGAGACACAAGCCTCTGCCACAGATTCCCCAGCTAGAGACCCGTTATCTAGAAAGTAAAGGAGTAATGCCTCGTAAAGTTTTAGAAAAGACTTCCGTGTCGCTCCAAATGTCAAAAAGACAAGTAGAGAGTTGGTTGAGGAAAAGGTCCAATGTTGGAAAACTGAGCAAACTTGATAAATTTCAAGACAGTTCTTTTATATTGTTGTACCATACTCTGATTACAGCGTATGGTTGTTATGTGATGCTGTCCAAACCTTGGTTGTGGGACATTACCATATGCTACCAAAACTTCCCCTACCATCAAGTAGATACCCAACTGTGGTGGTACTACATGATAGGTTGTGCTTTCTATTGGGAGCAGACAATCTGGCAGTTCAGGTATAGTCACGGCAAAGATGCAAACCTGGCATACCTCCATCATATATGTACCATATTTCTGTTGGTTTGCTCGTGGAAATGCAACTACGTAAGAGTGGGTAGCATTATCTTATTTGTACACGAGTGCGGCGACATACCCCTGCAGTTGGGCAGGATTCTGCGCTACTTCAAGGAAGAGAGAGTAATAGACTACGTCTTCGCGTCGTTCGTGATCCTTTGGGTTTGTACAAGATTGGTTTTATACCCATTTTGGATTCTAAGGTCGTTGTTTGTGGACATGCCGAGGTATGCTGACCTGCCATCCATGACGGTTTTTTACGTACTCCTACTCCTACTTTTTGGTATGAACGTCGTATGGAGTTGGTGGATAGGGTATGGAGTGTACAAGAGGTTGGTGAAAGGGGTGGTGGAGAATGTTGTGTCTTCAGACGATGGAGGCAGCAGCACTGACACTCATGACACTTCTCGTAAACTTGAATGAATGAAGTACCCGCAACAGCACTGACATGCACGATCAACTGCATTTCAAACATGAATCATGCACAGGGGTTAGACATATAAAGAATACACCCAAAAATTTCGCATCAAAACCGTTTTACTTTTCATACCAATTAAATCGTGACCTGTTATATTTTTTTTTATTTGATTATGACCTTTAAGTTAAATTTACAATAGATTATTATAAGGAGCGAAGGAAGGAAGGAATTTGAATTGAATTGGAGGACGGAAAGCGTTCAGCGGATCATAAGTCTGGCCAGTCAAAGTCAAAAACCAAATGGTCGCTGAAACAAAAAAAAAAAAAACCATCGCACTTCTAACTAACCTTTTTGTATACGGATACATTAACCGTAACCGACGTCAATGCTATTCGTACATCAAGGCCTGGGACAGAGAGGTCCCGTCAGTACATTAAGGATTATGTTATTACAGAAAATAGCAAGATCATTTCTTACATTCAAATCACTGCGTTATCGCACTGAACTCACTGTGCTTCATCGCACTGAACTCACTGTGCTTCATCGCACTGAACTCACTGTGCTTCATCGTACTGAACTCACTGCAATATCGCACTGAACTCACTGCGCTTCATCGTACTGAACTCACTGTGCTTCATCGTACTGAACTCACTGCGTTTCATCGTACT